AAAAGAAAAAAACCCAGTTTCTATGTCATGTAAAATTTTCCGGAGTTGGCTGGAGAAGAAGAGTGGAGCTCAGAGCCAAAGTTCAGGTGTTACTTCCTCTTTTTCTTGGGTGGTGCAGAGCTGTGTCTGGAACCACGGTTAGAGCCACGGCCTGAACTGTGTACAGATGCCTTCCTCTTCCGGCTCATACTTCGACTCTGTTCTTCTTCTTCCTCATAGCGACTTTCACGGTCCGCTAAACAGAATGAAGAGCTATTATTAGTTATATTTAGTTACCTAATGCTCCTGGCAGGCATGAGACAGCATGGACAATTTACTCAGTCACTAGTTATGTGACCTAAGGCAAGTGCTTAAAATTTGACTCTTCGTTTAATCAAGTGATAAGGAATTATTTAAGAATTAAAGAAGCTATCCTATCATGGTATTTGGGTTACATCAGGTAATAAATATTTCCTCTTCATCTTTAACTTGTGTTTGCAGTTTAGTTTCAGAGAAACTAGGTAAGGGTTAGCACGACAAAGACATTCCAAACTTGGAGCCTTAGATGACTACATGGTATAATTGGCTATGAGCAAACCAGGGGCTTGGGCAGAGGCAAAAAGCATCCGCCTAGGCAGTCATGACCACTTGAGAAAGTATGGAGACAAAGCCCGGACCTAATTTCTTCTCTCCTTTGGTCTGTTATAGCTGTGGCTTCAAATCAGATTTATGTGTTCTTCTGTTACTCTCATTAGGCTGCTAATACTAATAACTCAAAATACAGAAATGTGGTAGAAACTTTTTTTTGTACTCCTAAAAACAGGGTCTTGTTACTGTTGCTCAAGCTGGCCTCCAACTCCCAATCCTCCTCTGTCTCAGCCTCCCTAGTGTTAGGGTTACCGGCATGTACTACCACATCTGGCTAGAAATTTATACATAAATGGGTAAAGAAAAGAATAAGCCAAGCAAAAACAGAATCTCTTTTAAACCTTTTCGGGCTTCTTCCTCCAGTTCATCCCAGTCTTTGCCACTCTCTTCTTCACTGCCCAAGGATCCCTTGGAGTAGTCTGGAATAGTAACAATAATCACACATCAGCCATGCCAGTATGGAATGACACAATTCTCCTCTTCACAAAGTGCTTCCAGGGCTGGGATTTAGCTCAGTGGTTCCAGCACCTGCCTCGCAAGCGCAAGGACCTGAGTTTGACCCCTGCTATCAAAAACAAAAACAAACAAGAAGTGCTTCCAGAAATCAAATTAGATTAGGAAGCCATGCAAACTTTTTGTTATAAAGACTAACCTGATTCTTCTGCTTCAGATGAGTAATCCTCATCACTGTCCTCCTCTTCCTCTTCATAGTCATCCTCAGAAGGATTGAAAGTCTCATCTTCGATTTCAGACTCTGAATCCCCTTCTTCAGCATCACTCCCCTGGTTAAGTTAGAACATAATGATATTTATTTATTTTACCTTCTACCGAATTAACCAGTTTAGTATCTATGGTACCACTAGCATTTTACACCAAAAAAAACAAAAACCCCGAATCACCAAGAGATAAATGACTAGTCGTCTCATATTACTGATAAGCTAAAGTTGTTAGATCATTTCAACATCTAATTCATAGTTCTTTTTTGTGCTGGGGACTGATCCCTAGTCTTTTTTTTTTTTTGGTTTTTGTTTTGAGACGGTCTCACTATGTAGTTGAGACTGACCTGAACTCACTATGTAGCCGAGGCTGGTCTCGAACTCACAGCAATCCTCCTGCCTCAGGTGAGTGCTGGGATTACAGGCGTGCGCCACCACGCCTGGCCTGATCCCTAGTCTTGTACATACCAATTTTTATTTCTGAAAGGATCATTTCATCCTTCCTTGCTAAGACGGATTAAGGACAGAAAGACTAATAATGCATCATGCAAAGGTGTTTTTATAAAATGCCCTAAATCCAGCCCCCATACTAAGAAACTCAGTGAAGAAAAGTTTCTGTAATATCAACGAACTCTGCCATTGGCTACCAATGCCCCATCATCTTATCATTTATAGTATAAACCCTTAAAGTTGAGGTTCAGAGTGTGCCCCAGCAATATGGCAGGTTTCCAAGTAGCCAATTCAAGAGCGTTACTCTATTTTCCTTGCTGCTGATTGGCTACAGCTCTGTAATCCATCTCGAGCAGATGCACCAGCATTCCCATGTTGTAATAGGCTGCTATACCACATGTAGCTATCTCACAGCTTCTCAGTTTTTTTTTTTTTTAAACAGGGTCTCACTATGTAGTACTGCCCAGGAACTCACTATGGAGACCAGGCTGGTCCTGAACTCGCAGTGATCCTCTTGCCTCAGCTTCCCGAGTGCCGGGATTGCAGGTGTGCACCACCACGCCCAGCTTAGTTTTGTTCTTCTTAAAGCCCTAAGATCCCTAAGATGCTGCCAAAATGCCGTGCTCCCTAAGGTTTTAGAAATATAGTATTTAGTTAAATTAAATTATATACCTGTGGGAGACACAGCATTTTTAGAGTTTAAGACTATAAAAATAGGCATTTATAGGGCTGGGGATTTAGCTCAGCGGCACTGTGCCTGCCTCACAAGCGCAAGGTTCTGAGTTCAATCCCCAGTACGGGGGGTTGGGGGACATTTATAAGCATTTTTCTGACCATAACTGCAATATGTGGGTTTTCATAATTCTCAGGTGCTCTAGAAGTGTCATCCCTGCTAATTTCAGGGGTCTACTGTACCTGCAAGAGCACTCTGAAGACAAAGAAATACCAAGCTATGTTCAGTGTTTCTCCTAGCTGCTCTGGCCCTCATGTAATATCCCTGTGCCATTTTGCTACCTGTCAGAATGGGAGCAGGCGATACTGTATCCCGGGAAAGAAACCCCACACTCACGCACCTCACCCTCAGGTTCCAGGAAAGACCAGCCACCCTGCTCGAAGAAGCCTTCAGGGTCATCCACGATGGTCTTCATGATTTTGGTCCAGTTGAGGGACTGTACTCCTTCTGTGTACTTTAGGTCACAGGAACTGAGAAATGACATTACAAAACCAGCATCAATCTTGTATCCTTCCTGGAAATGCTCAGTACCACCCCGGTCACTGGTGTCCCTGGGAGAACAGATGCTCTTTGCTCTGTGCCATGAGCACACGCACACCTGGCTGCCCACTACTCTCCCACAGCAAACGCTGGAAACAGCCACTGTCTGGCTACAGTCACATGTCCCTCAACCGAGGCTGAGTTCATTTTCCTTACTTCCATTTCCCTTACACATGGAGTTCCCTCCCTGCCCTTCATTCAGTCTTAACTCCTACGCTCCCTCCTTGCTTTTCCCTCTCTTCCATTCATTCCACACTTATCTGTGAACAATCAGGTTCTAGAATATCTGCATAGAAATGAGATATTTTGGGAGCAGGACCTGAAAATTCACTTTTGTTTTTTATAACCACTGAAGTTTTTTTTTGTACCGGGGATCGAACTTGGGCCCTTTCACTTGCTAGGCAGGTGGTGGAACCACTAAACCAGATCTCCAGCCCTCCATTGAAGTATTTTGGATCAGTGATGAGCAACCTATGATACTAAGGAAGGAAAATTTATATTGTGAGAGGATTAATCATCTATTAATCCAGTGACAGAGTTTCAAAATACATGAAACAAAATCTGATAGAAGTACAAAGAGAAATAAGGAAATAATTGCAGCATAAGATCTCAAAATCATCTTAATTTTGACACAAAGTATATAGAGAACAGCTATGTGTATGTAGCTACCTACACAGTGAACTGGGATGTAGTTCAGTGATAAGGGTACTTGCTTAGCATGGAGGCCCTGAGTTCAATCAGCAGCCACAGTGCTGCTGGTGCTGCCACCACCCAAAGAGAACACAGAAGACTTGAACACAATCAATTTGATATTTACAGTAGTTTTCACAAAAAAGCGGTAGAACACTCATTCAACTCAAATATACAGAGAAAATTCTTTTACGTAATGTGCTGGGTCACACAAACCTCAACACATTTAAAAAGACTAAAATTGTACAAAAAATGTTCTGCAATCTTCAGAGAATTAATTTAGATATCAACAATGTAAAGAATTTCCAAGTAATTGCTGATATCCCAAGGCAAGGGGTCAAGAAAACTGATAAACCAGTAGCCAGAATGACCACAAAGAGGACACAAAAATGTAGATGACCCTAAATGATCCTATAGCTATTTGAAAAAACTGAATGTATAATTAGAAACCATCTAACAAAGAAAACTTGCGGGGTGTGGGGGCGCATGCCTATAATCCCAGCACTCAGGAGGCTGAGGCAGGAAGATCACTGTGAGGTTAAGACCAGCCTGGGATACCCAGTGAGTTCCAGGACAGTCTCAACTACATAGTGAGACCCTGTCTCAAAAAACAAACAAACAAACAAAAAACTCAGGCAGAAAGCTTCACAGATATGCTACATATTTAAGACAAAACTAGTATCAATTGTACACATCCTCTCCCAGAAAACTGAAGAGGTACCTTATTCTATGAGGCTAATATTAATCTGATACCAACCTGATCAAGACAATTCAAGAAATATTCCTCATTGACACAGATACAAAAATCCTCAACAAAACATTAGTGTATTAGATCTAGGACTATATGAAGAGTGAAAGATCAACAACAAAAGAAGATTGATTCTGAGAAAGCAAAGCTGGCTTAAAATTAAAAAGCAATGAATAAAAGGGGGGGCAGGGATTTAGCTCAGTGGTTCTGCCACCTACATCACAGCACAGGACCTGAGTTCCATCCCCAGTACAAAAAAAAAAAAAAAAAAAAAAAAAAAAAAAAAAAAAAAAAA